TCAGTGCAATGCATGATGGGAAATGTAGTCCGGGGTGATGTGCAACAGTGTGTAGTGCGAGAGTCAAGGAAATTGGAAGTTCATGGACCGGATTCGTGACAGGGAGACAGAAACACACACAAAACATGGGACAGAGTCTGACACATACACACTGCAAATGTAACCCCTCTCTCCTGGGTCCTCACCTCCACACCTCGTTCTCGTTCCGAGAGGGTCTTGACCCCGGGTCTCCGGAGTGGGAGGCGGACGCACTAACAAGGGGCTAAATGACAAAAAAAAGCCACTTCACATACAGCTCACAAAATCAGGCTTGCGCTGTGTGTAAGCTATTGTGCAACAATTGCACGATTGTAAAAACAAAAAATGGAGTGCATGATCAAACATTTAGGTGAGATAAATATATATTTTTGAAATATGTAAAAAAAATAATAATTTTTTATTCATTGATAAAAGCTGACTCAAAAGTGTGATTAATTAACGAATTGGCTCTGATTCTAAACAGCTATACAGAAAAAAACAGGCAGATGATGTGATCTACCTGATCTCATGATGAAAACATACCTGTGGGAACTTTTTCGCAAGATGCGACATTCATACCAATACCTACATATCACTGCAGTTTCCAACAGAAAAGAACACTAGAGGCTGCAAAACAGCGAGCACTTGTAATAGTTTTCATACACAGTTATGATTACAGCTCCACATGTTTCGATTTCTGGCTATAACAAGTTAGCTGGGTAGCTCAGCAGGTATGGAATTGGACTAAGGATGCAGAATCCTTGGGCACGAATCCCCTGAAAAACATGAATCATGATCAAAGAGCTGAATGATGAGAGATAAAAAAAAAACAAGCTAAAATGGCATGCTTGTGATTGCATTTTTACGGCGATTATCGGCGAACGCAATATTGCGTAGCTTGTTAGTGAACTACGGCTCTGTGTAGTAAATGCTGCCCCATCTGAAAGCGTGTGATGGAGATTTACTACTAATCACAGAACCGCCTTTACTGATGAGATGCACATGATTATCGCATTCGATTATTTGCACAGCCCTAACACAAAATAATGTTTTCCTGGGTTATGCTCTCAGACATGTTCTGGTGATATTTTTTTTTTGTATACTTGTGCTGTTTTTCACTTCGCTCTTGTTTCCACATTCTGTTCTTGCTTTTCCAAATGTTGCGGTTTGAGTTTCATGTAAATCAGGGTGGGCTTAAGCTTCATCATTGGTCCACAAGTTCTAGATTGACAGCTCCTCTTTTAGCCAATCAGTTGAAGAGGGGAGTTGACGTCACTCCAATGCACCTCATTAGCTGCCGATGGTCAGTGTTCACTTGTACAGGTGAAAATATGGATAACTGTCAGCTGTGATAACATCTTTCCATACAGGACACCGTTATATACTGTATGTCTGCCTGTCACAGCTGTACAACTGGCATTTAGTGGCATACGCATCGCTCTGTATATTCATGACCTTACATCTGCAGTGATTCTGCAGATAAGAAGTGTTAGTTTCAGCAGAAGTTATTTCCAGCTCTAGCAACACTAAGTTATTTCTGAGAAGTTTCCACTGCTCTTGTTATCACACATAGGTCCACATATCCGTTTTGTGAAGAGCCTCATGTTGAACACAAGTGAATAATTTTACAAATAAAAGCATTGCAATGCATGATTTACTGCAAGCTGTAATTACACAGCAATAGTTTACTGCAATTTATGTGTATTATGCACAAGTCATCTATTTTGGGAAGTAATATATATATATA